AGTTCAGTGCACCCCTCAGACCCAAACCAACTCGGACCCATGCCAACTCGGACTTATGCCAACTTGGGCCCACGACCAACTCGGACCCATGCCAACTCGGACCCGTGATTAACTTGCTGAAAATTGATTTTGTCCACTTTTACATTTAAGCATTTGGTAAATGACACTTTTGCACTGCATGCTGCCGAGATATAACGTCCTCTTGAATAAACGTAATGCAGGGAAACAATGGTACAGGCTTCCCAGAATTTCTCAGTTTTCGAGTTTGAACAGGCATGGTGGTTAGAAAACCGTACAGGACTAGATTTGATATCAGTGATGTCTTGGAACAAGTGATAAAGTAACCAACAAGTGTCCGAGTCGTATTTTTATGGAGGCACATTTCCTTTGATTTCTTATTTGCCGCTTGTAATCTGGAATCTTAATCGGTTATTAGCTTCCGAGGTACCGGCGTGATTGACCACAAAGACTGATTTTGTCACCTTCCATTCTTGGAACCCTATGATCGGGGAGTGGGGGCTTGGGACAAAAAATGGGAGCGACTTTTGGAGAGTGATCGGCAGTATCAAATCATTGACGCCCTTTCTCCAACGTTTTTTTGGCACCTCCGTCAGATCAACAGAAGAAATCCAATGAACTTTCAGCAAACAGCCCCCAAAGTCTTTGTTGCAATGGAAAGCCACAGGTAGGCCTTATGATGTACATAAGAGATGCTGCATGCGTACAACACATACTGCAGATATACCTCAATATTTGACCTTTCATAGTGTCTCATGGTGTTATCCCCCACCTCACTTTTAAAATATTTTTGGCCTGGCAAGTCTTACACGTCCACCTCCACCCCCCCCCCGAGTACCGGCAAAATTTAGGCAGATGGAGGAATTCTTCCATACAGGCCTAAACTGACTGTCCGAATAACGCAAATAGATTGGTAATTTCGAACAACGCAAATCAAATCATTTTAAAATAAAAATGTGGAATATTTCCTATTGTCTTAAACTTGGAGACGGTTTTGAAGCGTCGTATGTCTGCTCACGAGCTCATGATTAATATTTTGTGATCCCACTTCCATAATCACGAGGGATCATAGAATTATTTATATAAAACCCAAATTTGGGATTGATAGTTTCCAGTTCAGAGTATTTCTTTCACATCATTTAGGAAAGCCCCACATTGCGGGCCTATTTTCGACAGAGGCGGGCGGCTACATTCAGAGCTGAGCGCATAGTTTTACTACTATTAGGGGGGTATCTTTGGGAAAAGGCGAATAAAAAAAAGTTCATAAAATTTAAACAAAAAGTGATCGATCTGACCATACCAGTAATTTGAATTTCCAGCAAAAAAAATGAAGGCCAACCTCTTCGCAAGGTTCAAGAGTCGGCGCTATTTTGGTCTACGGGCGCGTATTTGATGTAGTGCAACCATAAGACTCATGCAGTGGGTCCGAGTTGACTCGAGGTGGGTCCGAGTTGGCGTGGGTCCGACTTGGAATGGGTCCGAGTTGGTTTGGGTTCGAGTTGACCTGATCCCCTGTCAAAAATGCACGGGTTGTAATGTGCCGCACGTACGTACGGGCAAGCTCACGGGTGAAGTGCCCCAATTCAAGGAAAATTCTCAATCAGACGGAGGCACACAAAAGGTACCCCCCCTACAGATTCTTTCAAAAAGAGGGGTCTGTTTGGGCCAAGAAATGGTGACAATGTGCCAGTACGGCCCGGGATCATCTCTGTAGATCCAAGGGCACCCATCGTGGGCAAAGCAGACAAAAATGTGATTGAAATTTTGTCAGAAGATCCCTAGAAAGTGAGGGATTTCATTTCAAGTTGAAAAATGGCCGCTGAGAAGACTTGCGAACGTTGACTTTTCAAGGGGGTGAGTTTGTTTTGGGCGGATATTTAAAAATTCATTGGTTAACCTACTAAAAATTGAAAATCAAATGAAATCTGAAGGACCAACCAACACATTGTTTTTTGTTTTGCCATGGGGCTCCAAAGCTAACGGCCAGCAGACAGTACTCACTATTGTTTGTCCGTTGGTATTCAAGCTAGTTTTGCAAAAGACTCCAAATTGTTTGAAATTAATCATGCACTGTTAGTTAATGTGTAGAACAAGCAATCGGTCAATAAAGTTAAATTTACCAGATGTAAATACTACAGTTTGTTTCTTGCGTCATAGGGCCCTTCCGGTACCCCTCTGCCGAGACACAACGGGCTCGGAGGTACATGTATGCGAAGGAACCAGCTTATGGGTCTTCTTGACCGTGAGTTGAATCCCAAAGTATTTCTGCAATTTTTTATGTTATCTTACATGCCGCCCTCTGTTGTCTGGCATGTACTTTTAACTTATATATGATGTCATCTAAATTCCTTGTCTCTGTGAAGTGGAAAAGACTACTGGAAAAGTACTGTAAGTTCGAAGTTAAATTAAATTACCTTAAATTCAAAGATCTATATGTGCTGTTTCAATTCCAAACACCACTACAGGACTTGCTCTCTCAAATGTATTTAATGTTGCAAGTCTTGGCACATGATATAGATTTCAAAGAGCGGCATCTGCATTTACTTTAGGCACACAATGCAATCGATCCACTAAAACGTCACCATCCCTGTGCACAAAAAGAAGTAGTTTTGATCGGTGAAAGTTGGTGAAAAACTGTGGGAAGTAAAAATAAAATCATTCCCAAAAATTCAGCTGTATAGCGGTCTTCCAGAAATCTTGATTCAAAGGCTTATAGGTGGTGTGCATAAATGGAAGGGTCAAGGAGTACAACTGTTAAACGTACGTACGTAGGCCCTGCATCTACATCTTCGCCAAGTGCTGACGTGTTACGTGCAACGGCCTTGTCACACGGGGCAACTTATGGGCAATTTACAGGCACTTAATCAACGGCATCAAATTGATCCCATATTGCCCTGTGAAGCTAACTTCGTAACAGCAAGCAAACCCTAGGGAAGCATCAACACGCTTGGGAAACCGGACTTGAATAAAGCATATAAAGCGTGGCTGTGGATTTTTTATTCAAATTAATGGCTGCGCAGTAAAGTCTGACACTGTTCGTCAAACCTGAGAGATTTGCACGGTGCATTAAGAGTCTCCTCTTCCAGCTGGCAACATTTTCCATAGGAAAGTACGTGGTGTATCTTCAGATTGTTGTGTAATTAAAAAAAAAAAAACCTCGTACAAATTAAACCAGCCGGTATAAAAAAGGCACTAGGGACGGATTTTAGGGAAGGCCTTAAGAGTCATTTTACGTAAATACCAGACATATGTGTCAAAAAATCATTTTTTTCCCTATACTTTGTTGGATGAAAGGACTTGGGGTGCAAGTGAGCGAAATACAATTTTCGAATCTATCCGTATCCCGTTGCCATGGAAACATCTCATGTCTTTAGGGAATTTTAGACCGACTTATTGCTCTGAAAAACTGGGTTTTGTAGCTTACATTTTAAAGTCAACTTTACCAAAATGCAAAAAATATTTCACAAATCCACTTATATCACATTAAAGTACCATCCTTGCCTCTACTTAATCCAAAAAGTATCGCTTTAAGTGTCAACCATATTCTGTTTGCATTATTACATAAAAGTACGTTTTTAGAACTAGTCTTGCAAAATTCACATTTTTACCATTTTTTTGACCCTCAAAACGTCAACTTGTCGGGGTTTCAGAACATTTTCCTTTTTGGTTGTGATTAGTACAAAATTTGAGAAAAAAAGAAAGGTACGGTTTTTGATCCTGGTACTGTTGCGTAATGAATACATAACAAATCCCACCGAGCCCTCGCCCGTGATTTGCCATTACTTACAAATCTTTAAAATATCAACATGCCTTTCATGCAGGCTGCATTACCCCTTGCCCCTTTATCCAGCCTCCAGCTTTCTTGACCGTTCCTCCTGCATTCGTCCATGCTTAGTTGACTCCCCGTTTTCTTGTTTGTCCCTGTCTACATGTCATTTTGCCTTTAAGAAAGATTATGCTAAGATTGAAATGTCAGGCGCTCTCCGTATTTGTTCTCTTAAAAAAAATACGGTAGTTTTAGAGGTCCGAACAACTCAGACCAGTAAGGGCCCCCATAATATGCATTGTTAAACCTGCGTGCATTCGTCCATAGTTCAAGAGACATCGCTCGGCTATTTATTTCAACTCTTTATGAAACCGTTGTTATCCAGCCTTGCTAGACGAAGTGGCACTGATTTGCTGCTGACATTTTCCATCAATAGTGGAAATTTCGGTCTACCTTGAGCAGTCAATCGAGCCAGACCATCTTTGCGGGGATTAAAATTAACACGCGATACCCCTGGGAGGAGGCACGCCGAGCGTAGGTGGAAGGTTGTCAGTGACAGTAGCCTCGACTCGGTGTGCAATCGGATAAAAGCCTATGAAAACTCTATGAAGGGAGGTAATACCATCAATTGATTTTGGTTTCGCTGCGAATTCCATATTTTGTCTTTGCATGTGGTTCTATTTTGTTTCGGAAGTGTGAAGAGGAGCGGCATTTGAACAGAAAACGTTTCGAGCGAGTTAATTAAGGGAAGCAACTGTGAGTTCTAATGGCCAATATTTTGTCTTTTACAAAATCAGCATCTGACAAATCACATTTGGAATATGTAAGAGTCTCTCCTCCCTACCTCATGGCTTGTATAAGATTTATAATACTACAGTCGTTGGCGGGGGAAACAGGATGGGTGGACGTTTTTATAAATCCCCCTCCTCTTTCTCGACTGGAGGACCCCCCACACACACACTTTTTGAAAGTCCTATAACGAAAGGGGCTCAATGGATCGCTCTGATGCAAGACTATCCGGCATGTTCCCCGCTTTCATAATCGTTCTTCCACCGCTGAATGCAGGCTGTGTCCATTATTTGTTTGTCTGAAATTTATTCCTCCATGGTAAGACAGAAGTTTATTAACTTCTTCCAAGTCAATAATGCCGGCACACTCATGATTCGGAAGGACTTCGCATAGACTGCAGCTTTGCCATCAACTTCTTTAGAAGTGCCTAAGGGTGATGTGGACATCCACCCCCCTCAGCATTTCTTTGATTCATGTCTGAATGAATGTTTCATTCGTTTGCTGTTCTTGAGGTGATTGTTTAAATTTGTCACTACAAGGCAAGAGGAATTGCCTTTGAGATGGTGCCCCAAGCTTGCAAACAAGCAGGAAAATTAAAATGGAAGTTTGAGGCATTCCTAAAACCATCCATCACAAACTAAAGGGAATAAAAATTGGTCCAGCCTTATATCTTACCTTGCAAACGTAATCCTTTTAGAAGCATACGTCACCAAGTTCCCATGTGGCACTTGAGACAGTGACCTAATATCAATATATAGCAATAAAGAAGGGAAACAATGAGTCTGCTAGGAATCTATAGAAACAAGACTACATACATCTAGCCAAATAATGTCTCAATTTTTTTTCAGACTACAATAGTACCTCGCAAGTAAACAGTGCCTCCTGGCACGAGCGTTTTAAACAGTATTTGAAAAACTTTGGTTAAACATTGAAATTAAGTCCTCCCATTGCTATAACTCAAGCTGTTCAGGGTTCTCCAATATTCTCCAATAATAAAAGGCCTCTAGAGAAGTATACAAAAAATTTCAACATATTTGCGTTGCCTTCAAACACACTTGACCTTCCTTTACACAACAGACGGACTTCGTCTAATGACATAGGATTTCCAGCTACTAAGGATTATCACTGTTGGAAACTATAAGCCTAAAAGTGAATACAATGTCCACTTCTGTGATTCGAAAGAAAGGTAAGTTTTTATGTGCTTTCGTAATGAAGTTATGTCTTATACGACAATGTAATTGGCCCCACTGGTGTTCAGTCATCGCTGTTGTTTCATGCCTGAACCTGTTCATATCAGGAGAGTATTATTTGTATAAACTGCTTTATTGTTTTCTAACAGTCTCAACCTTGACAAAAAATCTTTCTCTCCACCCAAGGGTTCAAAACTAATTACATGCAGAGAAATGTTATTAATACTGCTCTGTATTATTGTGTTTTGTGGTTGTCGATGTTGATTTTGTGGTCTTTCTCCGCTACAAACATTGTGGTTGTTGCCATCGTATCGATGTCATTTCCCTTATTGTTACGGGATTTTAATAAATAAGGTGAGAAATTCCCAACTGAGAGTGGAGCAGAATTGTAATGAGTCACTTATGCTTTTTACTGAAGTCGAGTCATTAGGCAAAAGGTTGAGCCTAGTCGAGTCAAGTATTTAGCTCGAGTCAGTGTGAGTCAGCAATATTTGAACACAATCCGATAAATAAAACAAGGGAGCAAGTCATTTATCGGCTTTTAAAAATTTCTTCCTCGGTTTCTACATGTGGTGACACCACTTCTTATTCTTGATGATAATAACATAATGATAAATATTATAAAATAGCAGATTTGTTTCGCAAGGAAGTTTGCTTTTATTTTGGTACTCGGGTCTCATTAAGTATCCTTCGAGTCAGGTCCTCTGATGAGGGGCTCTAGTCGAGTCGAGTCATTTGCTCGCCGTGACTCAAGTCGATATGCCAAAAACTATATCTCAGCTAGACTCGAGTCGAGTTATTGACTCGAGTCATACAACTCTTGATCAAAATTCAGGTCAAAAAGAGATAAAGGTAATGGGAATTCTATACTCCATAACACTCTCAGTTGAGTGTTCCTTCAACAACCACAAAGACAGACTTTGTTGCCGAGGTTGTCTGTCTTCCACAGAAAAAAAAAGCAATATAAAATGTGAGGACATTTTAGATGATCAAAAGTCCCGTTTAATCAGTAAAAGTGACATTACTACGGCATGCTTAACAAACAATGCATCCTTGATGGTTGTGCTTGCTGGATGAAATAATTGAATAACACCTCCCTTATGAGCGTAGTGAGCAAACTGCAAGCGATGTTGATTCCTCCTCGCGTTAAACTTGCAGACGCAGGGGGAATTGACGACGACGACGGGTCAGGAGCTGAGCAGGGCTAGTCTTCGTAACATCTATGGTTGTTTTGATACTGAAAAACATTGTACTGACGGCCCGGCGGGAAATTATCGTCGTCCTCATGCCATTGGATTACATCTGCAGTCGAGGGGATACTTTTCTGAGGATGAGTGACGTCTTTTCTTCGAGCTGTAATGGACAGAAAGTATTCCAGCACGGTGATAAAGATCAACACATCCACGTACGCGAGCAAACAGGCCCCAGATACAAGGCCCACAATCCTTTCCAAAGGCTGTACGCCGTGTGTACGGTGTAATTGTTGACAAGCCAAAATTGTAAAGGTTGCAGCTATACGAGATATAATAACCATGAGCTCGATTAAATTCCTTTCATCGTGACACGAATGTAAACACCCAATGTGAAATTTCTCTCGCGAAGTTTTGCTTGAACAAACCCGTTGCCAAAGTCCTCACCTTAAAAGGGGAGAGGGAAAGCACATCTTTAATCGTTTGCACCACAAAATCGTTTGCACAAAGATGTTCGCTCTGTTTTCTCATTTTCTTTCTGGTTGAAATTCTTTTTAGTGTAATGGTGAGTATAAAATACATGTATTGCGTGGGAAGAACATATGCACACACTGATCGAAATTCAGATTTCAAAATGGTCGTGTATGGCTGAATGGTTATCTTCATTCCCTAAGATTTAATCTCTTGTTTGCTGAATGTGGCACAGAAGACATCTCTCACTGATTCAGGGAGGTTTGTATGCACTGAAAGAAATAATTCTCTGCTGCGAGGCAACCATGCGCAAGGCAGTCAAGGACCCTATTTCCAGTCATTGCAGGATCATGATAAATAACAAGCAGTTTCCCTCGTGATCAGCGTACCTTGATTTAATGTCACTTACAACAAGGGCTGATTCTTACATTGAATTCTTCTTTCTTTTGCCCATTTGGAATCGTTCAGGGTGTGTGCGTGTAGGGGGGAGCACTTGCTCCCCATGCCCCCCCCCCAGTTACTCCTCTGACTGCAAGTTGAATGTAAAGTTAAATTGTAGTGTCTGAATTGGAGATGTAGGCTTGGAAATTTTCTGTTACGTGCGTGCTATCTTTTTTTCCTTACATTTAATTGAAAACACTCCAAAGCAAAGAATTCCCTTAGGCCTACGTTAATATTAGCTCAAAGTTGTTTACAAATTCCTGAACGCAGGATTACTGGACATTTGTCTCGTGAAAGGAGTATCAAAAAACCTAAATGATCAAAAGCGAGGCACTTTCCACGATGGACTTCACGATAAGAATTGGGGCTGAGTACACGGCCATTTCGCCCGACAAGCACATCGTGAGCTGCCCAGCCACGCGGAAAGAAGTCTGTGTGCGAGTCGACTGGCTGTGGCTATACCCAGTTGCTACCTTAGGCGAATGCGTCAGCTCCAGCCGCAGACATAACATTCAGGTGTAACTACAGATAAAAATATAAAGAAATGCCTGGTACTAATATTTATATAACGACGTCACAGAAGACATTTGCTTTTGACACACTTTCTAAAGATGTGCTTTTTTTCTTTTTCAATTGTGCTACATCTCACTGATTTGTTGGAGAATATGTCACAAAATGGTATTCGATTTTTGTCATTCTAAGATGTGACTTTGTTTTATTTTCCATTGTGCCGCATGCAGAAATGATGTTACACATCGCTTGTCCGTCCAGATTCAATGTAAATGCCATCTACATCATTGCTGACGTAGACAGCTTGATGAAGCTGCGCAAACAGCGCTCAAGATTTGTATATAAGGTACTACGCTCACCGTCGTTTTTTCACTCAGTCACGATGGTGAATTGTAGCACGTTTGTACGTACGACTTGTACGACTTCATCACTCAATCAATATTAAGCTTGACTGTTGAGGTTTCTGTAAATTCAGATTTTGTTTGTTATTGTTTGTTATTCTGGTTTTTTAAGGTGCAGCGACATATGTGGATATGTTTTGGGGCAGAGGGTGTGGTATTTTGGGAACGGTCCTCACCATCACTCTTGTTGTCGGTTCAATCCCGCCCGACGTGTACTACAGCTATGCCCAGCCTGGCGATTTCTTCATCGCTGGCCTGTTCCCGTTTCATATTTATAACCCCGGCAGTGCCCCGTGTGACTCGGCGCTGTCTGCCTGGGCTGTAGAGCTGTCACAGACTATGGTCTATGCGTTGGAAGGCATCAACCGGCGATCGGACTTGCTCCCGAATGTAACCCTGGGGTTTGAAATCAGAGATGACTGCTACTCGGAGTCCATGACGCTCTTCACGACCCTCTCACTGCTGGCCAGCAACGGTAGGCTAATTGACCTGGACGCCCTGGGGCAGTTCAGGCCAAGCAACAGGCACGAGAACAGCACTTTCCTTGGTGCAATCGGGCCAGTATCAAGTTCCAACAGCATCATGGCCGGAATGACCGGTAGCCTTTTCCGGGTGCCCATCATCTCGTACCTGGCCACGAGTGACGAGCTATCCAACAAGAACAGGTTTCCCTATTTTCTGCGTAGCACTCCGCCGGACATGCTAAACGCTCAAGCAATCATCGATATATTACAATGGTTCGGCTGGGACTATGTCGCTTTAATCTACTCCTTAGACAGCTACGGGATCCGTGGGGCTCAAGAGGTGCAGAAGCTAACCGAAAAGAACGGCATCTGTTTGGCGTTTTCGTCGCCGATAAGCAACAACCCTTCAGAGGAAGAGATCGAAGAAGTCGTGCAGAAACTGAGGACATACAGATATGCGACGGTAGTCGTCGTCTTCGCAGCCTCCGGTGCACCTTACGCAATTCTGGACGAGTTCCACAACCAACTCCCTGACTCGAACCTCACTTTCATCGGAAGTGCTGCCTTTGAGTCGGTGTACAGGCTGAAAAAGATAAGCTTGTCGGAGAACACAGTGGGCGGGATATTCGTCCCACTCCTCTATCGCGATATAGACGGGTTCGAGCAGTATTTCCGATCCATCGGCGCAGAGCCAGACGTGCATGTAAGTAAATGGTTTCATGAGTTTCAGACAGCATGGCTAGCGGAAAGGAACTGTACCCAGTTTAGCGAGTGCCCGCCGCTGACTAATAACGACGAAATATTCGTAATGAATGCGGTGAACATCTTTGCCCATGCGCTGCATGAGGTTCTAACAAGCGTTTGCCAAGAAAATTTGACCTGCACCTCAGAAATTGTTTCTGTTGGGGAACGATTTCTTCCCTACTTGCTCCAGGTGGATTTCGTAGGGGCTGACGGGCCGTTTCGGTTCGAGAACAATGGCGAACCAACTGGCCGTTACACGCTGAAGAACGTGCAGATGACGGATGAAGGAAAGATCCATACCGTTCAAGTTGGTATTTGGGACTCGCTGAAATCAGAAGAGCGTCTGACGGTCGAGGAAGATGATGTGATCTGGGCAGGAAAGAAACAAATGCCTCCCCGTTCTACTTGTCGACAGCAATGCCGACCGGGTTACATCGAGGTTCCTTTGGAACAGAAGTGCTGCTGGGGTTGTCGACAGTGTCCTGTCAATGCCATCACTAAGAACGGTGAGTGTGTCACATGCGAGAAGACCCATTGGCCCAATTCAGCTCAAACCCAATGTGACGCTATCACTCCAGCGGCTATCTCTTGGAGCAGTCCTCCTTCGATTGCAGTCATAGTCTTGTCGGGTGTCGGCATGGCCCTCTCGACCACAGTTGCCGCCGGCATGTACTTTTATCGAAACCATCCGCTAATCAAGGCGACCAGCCGAGAGCTCAGCACCATTCAAATCGGGGGTCTCTTCTTGGCCTTTGTAACGGCCATCGTCACCCTGGTTCGACCTTCCCGTGTTTCCTGCCATAGCATGGTAACCATGATATCCCTCTGCTACACAGTGATGTTCTCAACCACCCTTCTGAAAGTAAACCGCATTTTTCGCATCTTCAAAGCCAGTAAGAAGTCTACTAAGAGACCACCGTGGACCAGTCCGCGTACCCAGGTCACTATTGCCTCCATTCTCATCTTTACACAGGTAAACACCGCATATTATCTCGCTCATCGTTGGTACAATGATTTAGACGGCACTATTGGTACAGTGAATCAAACGTTCTGTTGATATTAACGCAGTTGAGACTTAACAGACTAAAATACGTTGCAGTGAGAAGTTGGTATTTCTAAATGAATCAATGAAAGCTTCTAATCGTTGGGAATTTCAATGTTGGGCAAAAATGTCGAATTTCAGGAATGAAACTTTAAGGAATAATTCACAGAACATCTTTTATCATCAACAATTTTCTTTTGAGTAAGCTTTTGGATTACAATTCATTTTTATCTGCACCATAGCTTAGACAAATCAAGCACGTTGTGACAAGAAAAGCAATACGAACAAGAATGTTTACGTCGATCACTCATTAAACTGTTCGCTGTAAACAAAATGGGAACATCTAGTCAGAGTGCACCCACTTCAAAATCTTCTAGCAAAAATACGGGCTTCACAATATTGCGTCTCCAAGAGTTTGCAACGCGTTGACCAATCAGCGCAAAATCTGACGACCCACTGCGCGTTTGGAAAGGGTTGACAGATTTCGCGCACTATGATTGGTCAACGCATTGCAAACTCTTGGAGGCGCACTATTGTGAATCGACCTTATTGAAGCTGCTGGAACTGCATTATCCACAAAGAATGATGCAATTATGTAGTTTACATTTTTGTTGACCTGGTTTGTACTGAGTATGGCTTGAATTGAATTAGGAATCAATATTGCCGAGCCTTTCAGAATATTTTGTTAAGCACACAAGCCTATTGTGTCTGACTCAGTGATTTTGGTTTCCAATCAAGGTCCTGATTTCCATAGTATCCATTGCCTTGGACTCCACCAAGCCCGACCTGCTTTTCTCGATCCCAGCGCAAAACCACATCGAGCTGTACTGCCGCTTAGGATATGAGGCTTTAGCCAGCTGCCTGTACAATCTCGTCCTGGTGCTGCTCTGCTGCTACTACGCCTTCCGGGCGCGCAAGGTGCCCAGCAACTACAACGAGTCCAAGTTCATCGCGGCCAACGTCTACTCCACCTTGGTCTTCAGCGTGGCCGCCTTGCCCGTATACGCCACGGCCACCACAGCCAGTCAGAGGGTGGTCACCCTCTGCGTGGTGGTCCTGCTCAACGCCTACGGTACCATCTTCATGGCCTTCCTGCCCAAGCTGTACGCTGTACGTTTCGTGGATGACATCAACGTGACCCGCGAGGGCATGGGAGTGTCGTCGTCTGGAGGGTCTCGTCTGTCCAGTAACGTGCGTGTTCATCCTTCTCAGTTGTCTATCGACGTGACGGCGACGGCTTCACAGCACTCTAGCTCTGTCCCTGCAGGCCCCTCAAACACAAAATGAATTGAAAGTCCGTCAGTTCAGAATCTAAAAGAGAAGGAAAGTCGCGCCAATTCATTTTGATCGTAATTTTCCACTACCAGTACCATTTTTGTCAGATTGGGTGACAAAGTTATCAAAATTTTACTTTTAATCCTTCATTGAAAATTTAAATCATGTTCATATCTGTTTCAGGAAAAAACAAATGAAGCAAATAAACAAACACGCCAAAAAGAACCCCACGCCCCCCAAATGCATAAAAAAATCAAACAATAAAACACACAAGCAAGCTTTGACACTAACTCAAACACACAAATAACTCTAATATACTCGTGTACATCCGGCACATAATTATGCATTGTTCTTTAAATTGAAGTATTGACAAACCAGATGTAGCTTTGCACTTTCATATGTTGGGTTTGATTTCAGTTGGTTAATCAATATAACTGATATACGCGTCAATCCTGTGCCGTCTGGTTGTGAGCAAATACGTATACACAATGAGTATTTATTAATAATTAATTTTTCCGAGCAAACGGGTAATCGGATATTTTATTGTGCGAATACATTAATTAAGACTCACAATACTTTATGTTTGCATCCGCTATTAAAACACTTTACACTTTGGGTGATCCAAAGTATTAATTTTTATTGTGAATGAGAGTGATTTATAATGCAGATCCACACCAATGGGTAAAATATGTTAGAGAGTCTCTAAAATGAACTTATTGTATTAATACAGATTAGAATTAGTATTAAAGGCGATTGAGTATAAGTCCTATAATAAAAACGAAAGGAATATTGTTTAGCGCGGAAATTCAATCTCCTGAACAGTACGCTTTGGTCCTCTTTTGTGCTTGTATATTTCTCACTGACTTCTGTTAGAGTTCTCTTAGACTGTTTTAGTCGATATCACCAGCGGGTGCTTGTGTTCTTGTTTATAAACACTGATCACAGCGTTTCAAAGGGAAGGCCGCAGTTCGCTTGCAGTTTATTTGAGCGCTTATTATGCACGCCGTTAGTGTTCCACTGTAATGCAGTGACGTTAATTTACGTCATTCACTATTCAGTGTTTAGCTCTTGGTGTTCTTTCGCTTCAGTTTACATCGAATCGTTCTTACGTGTTTCCACTTATATTCATTCCAAGTTTGCCATCATCACTTGGCACAGACGACACTTACAGTTTAAAAAGACTAGATGAGGGTCTGTGAGCACGACCACCCCTCCTGTATAAACAACACGTAGAAAGGATATGCGCGGTTGTTATCCCTATGGTATTTTACTCGCACGACTTCGATAGCCTTTTTATTTTTTTCCCTAGGGTGAAGGATATCGACACTATAGGATTACATGTATTCAAAAGAGGGCCACTACGCTGACGATTTCGTTGGCAGTAGGGAAAGCAGAGCGGAACAGAACAGTCATAGTTTATTTGTTCATATATTTAGGTATGTGTAGGTTCGTTTCTGTAGCTTGTATGGGGTGCTGGTATCCATTAGAAATGTCAATTGTCTTTACAGCACCGCGCTAACTCTGCACATAAAATAATAATAATTGTGATTACTACTCGTGTATTTCAAACTCATTTTTTCGTTTGTTAAATAAATAGTTTTGTAGTGATGTTTATTTCATTGCCTGAAATTCACTGACTTTGAAAACAAATCTATATTTCTATCATTGGTCCTCCTTTACCAGTGCTCATTGGCGTCGCTAGAGGGAGGGTGTCGGAGGTGTCACCCCAACATCGTTTAGTTTTGTTGGCAATCTCATGGTCCGTCGGCAAAATATAAAAACGAAGAATGGAGATGAAATAATTGAAAGGAAGGTGATACATTACACTGGGCAAGTTCATGTGGCACCAACCGCCACCCAAAATGGTCTGGCAACGCCCGTGCCGGTGCAACGTTTGGTTGTAGAGTAAATAATGTGCAGATGCGCCTCCTGACTGCGCCCAACATCATTACCATTCTGTAGATGTTTTATGGGTGTAAAATTTTTAAATTTGTTGTTTCCTGCGGGATTTTCGTATAGTCTTCGGCATTTTACATGCTCGTCTCTTCACTCTTTCATGACACCATTGTGTTAATTGCTGGAACTGAAAACGTGGTTTGACACGGGTATCCGGTTCGTAAGTGTGACGTCACTTCAGTTTAAACCACACCCACTGCACATGCACTGCATAGAGTTACGTGCATTGATCGCCGTTTACATGGAACCATGGAACCGGAAGTTAACGCGCAACTTCAGCGATCGTCCAGTGTCACATAGACCTGACTCAAGTAGGGATCTCTGTGACGTCCTCATTGTTGCTTTGGATACATTATCGAAACGTGCGCCTTACTTGCTTTGAGCCCTCTTGTGTCCACTTATTACTGTGAGTTCAACTACCAAAAGTGGGAGCAGCCAATCACATTGCCGGACATGTTTTTACGTCGTTCATACCTGCATTATAATGAGCAGATCTGACTACTTTGATTGGTGGAAATTCCGTAGACATGATGCAAGATCATGTCGTTCATATGCAATTATGAATAACTATACATATCTCCGACGGGGGTCTGATTGGCTTACCCGTCAAGAACTTACTGACTGGTGACTATGACACACGTAGTACATGTGCAGTGAAGACTATCAAATGATGGGCGCCTTATAAGTGTTGTGCGAGCTGCAGGGCCCGAGCGCGACGACCGTGTAGTGCGTAACGGCTGAAGGGACGGCTTAATTCAACTTGATTCAAATCACATTGGTCGAAACTGGTAGGGCCGTAAAAGGACATGGAGCAGTTATCTGATCCACGAGACAATCTGACAGAACCGCAAGGGTGTATGAATGAAAAAGTACAAGCGAGGCAACTGGGCATAGATGTATTAGTGATCGTTATCAATTCCCATAATATGGAAGAAACACCGTACAGCCATTGCAAAATGTACAATAGTCTTGGAATCAAATTAGTAATATTGCAGTAGTAGCTCAAGCATTTAACGAAACAGCGAGCTTAACTCAGTCAGTCCTTTTGACGTCACAGTCGTTTTTTCCTGCAAGTGGCTCAAACTGTGGCTGGCTATCGGTATAAAACGTGATAGAATAATTCAAAAAGTGTTAAAAATCCCACGCAGCTATCAGAACACCAGATAATGATACACGTACTACTAAATACTAAATGAAAATGCAACGTGATATAAAGAGGACATTTGCCCATTTTTAACAAATTTGAGGTAAAATTGACAACCAACAGAGGGTGATGTTTCTGTAGATGTTGGCATACAATATAGAGGCAAATGAGAGTAGGCAGTAAGACAAAGTACATGTATGGGCATTTCGTATGCCTTCCCCAGGATATACAAAAATATTGAAAAAAAAGAAAGAAAAATAAGGAAAAAGGAGAAAACATTGAAACGAAAAGATGACAAGGGATGAAAATCACCAATTTTTTTGAAAAAAGAAAGAAAATAAAAAACAAAGAAAACCCCAAAACAAACAAAAAAATAAACAAACAACCCCCCACAAAAAAACCTGTTAATTTGCTCCCCCTCCCCGAAACTCCTTTGTTGGGGAAAGCAAAAGGTGATTGCCCCCATAAAAAGCTTAACAACAGCTGTTAGTAAATGGTACACATTAGAGAACTGAAAGTTAACCGAGTACCGCACTTTGCATTGATTCCCAGCAACTTAGAAATAATATGTGGACATACCATTTGTTTTGAGAAATATAAACAAAAAAAAAACTTAAAGAAGAAGATAGTAACTGAGGGCAAAATGGACATTCTACGTAATAAAATCCAGCGGAGTCCGGCTATTCATAGGCCTACTAGCAGGGGTGAGCAATAAATGTATAAAGCACTTTTATTTCGAGATAAGCCTGGTGCAATGTCCAATATGCACGGTCGGATGGTTTTGGGACTTTATCCGGCATCAGATTTCTCACTCTTGTAAAGTCGATACTACACTTTGGTTTTGCTCTGTTAAATTTGAATATGCCCTTGATGGCTCAGATTAGGTGCAGTGCACTAACAGTAACAGCGATAAGCACAATCAATAAACCAAATAAAGTAACAGGCGTCCGGTGGGTATACAGCGGGCAAATTCTTTTGAAAACGTGGAGCAGTCTCTTTTTCTTTCTACAAGCATCAGGCTGTACGAAGGTGAAAACATGCTGCTCTCTGCCTGAAATGCCGCCCCGTCTGGCCTGAAGATATCATTACGAAAACTTTGGCTTTTCTGCACGAGAAGGACGACCATTTTTAATAATATATTTAATGATGCCAGGTAGGTTCGGGTCATGCAGTAAATGGTCTAAAGGCTGGGTCTTACCTAGTGCTAAAGGGAACAAGAATGTAATTTTCTGATGTTTTATCAAATTACTAATTAGCAAAAGGAAGTTATCAAAAGTTGAACCATTTCAGGTTAAAGCGACTTTTGCTGCAAACGTTTCTCGACATCAAATTTGCTTGGCTTTCGAGTACTCCTGAATTATGACCTGGCTTTTAGGTGAAATTCGCACGAGTTGTATGGGTTCAACTTTTGCGAACTCATTGCAGCACGGAAATTTTATCTGACTTCGCAAGTAAGCAAGCTAAGTACCTGAACTGCCATTATACGCAATTTTTGAAAAAAGCACATAGGCTTCTCTGGAAGTTGGGGGCTCTCTTCAAGACCAAGACATTTGAAATTGTCAACATATTTCGGACCATGCACCAATGCACTGCTGTTTCACCTCGCCAAAATTCCACTCAATGCCCTCAGAGCGCTCAGTGGATACATTATGCTGCATACGTGGGCTACGCTTACGGAAGGAAGAGAGGAGACCTTATTTTGCGCATCCGATGCACGAGTTTTCTGAAGTTGATGAAAACAAAAACAAAAGATCAAGGCAACATGGATGCATATCGCTAAAGAAATTTGCGGAAATAAATTTCTGACGCGTGAAATGGTTAAATGTCACGGCAACAATGTTGTGATGTCATGATTTTTTTAATTAGTTTTTTTTAATTAACCATTCAGGCGACACAGATAACAGTGTAGGGTTGACGAAAGAACAATATACCATGCATCGTATGTGTGTGTGCGCAGGAGAATACGATTTCGTCGTTGCTGCTGGTTATAGTCCCAGTACCGATAAGCTTTAAAGTTCTTAACAAGTGAGAAACTTGAGTGCGACTTTAAACAAAGAGTTAACAGCCTTTTATGATTGCGGTTGATGTCGGCTGTGGACCTTTTCAAAATACACGACCTCTGTCCTCACAATTTGAGAAAGTCATAGGTTTTGATGTGAGCGGAGGAGCAGCTCAAGGTAGCCCGGAGTGTGGCTAATGCTCCCAAAGATTTCAGGTAAGATTATACCTTATGCTCACCTACACCTTGTGAAAAAAAATTAACTGCTTGAACGGTACAAGGTCACCCAACGAGCTTGCGGAACCCTGGCACGGCCCGCTTATAATGGGTATTTTACGTGGGGACACCCAGTCACGTTCCGTTTACTTTTCCAGCGGCGTATCCAGGTTTTGGTATGTGTGCATGTGAGTGTGTAAACGCCTTCAATCGTGGACCTATAACAGTGGGGGACAATATGGTCCACCGTTGCCGAAGAGTCAACGGTTGGAAAACGTGCACAAAACATATGGGAGGTCTTCCGAAAAAGTGAAAGAATGAACAAAAGAGGAACAATAGGGAGTCCACGATTGAAGGCGTTAACACACTTGGGTGTGTGTGGAGGGGGTTTAATTTTAAAGCGAATACGGCTGCGGGCTTATGCCCATTCAAAATGATACTGGTGGAGATAAAATATCAAAAGCCTTACTCGAAAATCCGTCGGGGGGGATTCCCAACCCTGCCCCCGCTGGATACGCCAGTGATTTTTTCGAAGAATCATCTCCGAGGCCGACCTAAGAAACAGCAATGTCAGCGTTTTATCTTTGAGTCTTCAAATTACATTGTGGGAAAAACACCTAAAGAAAATAGAATGACTTCATTAATTAATTAATTTGAAGTTTCCCTGAGGTAACGATAAAGTGCTAAACTGATTTTATTCTTCTGGTTTTATGTAAGATTTTACCTAAAGACTGCTTCAAAATAATTTTGTTACTTTAAATCTGCGTAGGAAAACCTCCACTTGCACTTGTGGTCATGTATTTTAGATTTTCAAAAGTGAGAGGTCAATTATAGCACGATATTTCTCTTTCCCACCAGGCAATCTTTCAGTTTTGTTAATGTATTAACGCCTTTTAAACGCCATCCTGGTAACATTTTATGAACGTGTTGTGTTGTTAATAATACAAAGTTGAACACGTTGTGGTGTTTATTGTTTTTGAACAAATACGTGTGGATGGGCTGATAATTTTAGACAAACACGTTTATTTAAAAATGTTTCGTTTCAAATGGTTACACTGTTTACATTTAACGCGAAGACGCGTTTATTGTGGGCGTTTCTTTCGCTGCAGGAAAAGAAAACGACCAAATCTCGCGTGACATAAGGTCTTTCCTTCTCGACCGGTCATTGACCTCATTACTCGGACAATCTGCCATCCGGCTGATCTTTTAGATACGTTCAAGGCGATTAAAAAATTGATGTGTCCAAAACATCGGCACGATTTCCTTAAAGTGCCTTCCTGAGAGATTTTGCTAGGATCGAACAAGTCGGGCCCTCAAACTGTTTTGACAACATATCCACCTGTCTATCTGTCAGTCGTGTCGTTTTCTGTCACTTATGCCACTTTCAAATTGTTGTTCATCTCTTGTGACAAGAAGTGGCAGCACAGAGAGAACCCCGGTATAGGACAATTCAGCTGACCTGGTCACCTGTGCAGAGGCAGTCCACTGGTTGACTTGAGCGCTTTCTCTCGGGAGGTGGACAGAGTGCTGAAGCTGGGTTAAGGTACTCTACAGCTACTACCTCCTGCAGCCCTGGATGGACGGAGAGGATGAGAGAAATGCACAAATCGAAGAGGTCATGAGTCAGGTGAGCTGAGAGATAATAGAAACGTTGGCATGCTAACAAGAAGCTATGGACATCATTCCTTTGTGCCCCTTCAATGACCTACTCCTAAGCAAAATATATACTGCATAAATTCTTCACTTCGACTGTGCGCACATTTAAAGAATGTCAGCGAGCAACACACCTTTAGTAAATGAAATTTGAGGTGGCGTCTCTTTACGGGATGGGTTTTGTGGGATAATCATGTGCAAAAACCAAATATGCAGTGTGGTTGCTTATGAGCATAAGTTTGTTATTCAGAAAAAAATTGGTATGTGTTTTAAATAGCAGCAGGTTTGTCAAGTGGTTATGACATGCCCCTTCTGTAATTAATGTATACTTCACAACCTGGGCAAACTGAAAGAAAGACAAGGTGATGGTCAGTTGACTAAGTTATTTAAGTGGTTCCATAGTGAATACAGGTCAAGACTGGCAAAGAGAGTTATGTTCATGGAGGACAGGTCAGGACAGGGCTAACTAATAAGGATTTACGACCAATTGCTTGGAACTTGAAATTAAGTAAAGGGGATTGGATTTATGGCTTATTGGCTACTCTGAACTTATGAACTTGTGACCTGCCTATACTGCTCACGTTTAGAGGCAGTAACGTTAAAGGCCACTGCAAGTTAGTCTTCCAATTGGTATTGCGAATTGTAACGAAAACCTGGCAAAAGTGTGATAATTGGGTAACACATTTGTTATGATATTTTGTTCCACGTTTATGGTCCTACAAACCACTCTCTCCGCTTCATTATTTCTTTGTCTTCATTAATTATTTCTTTGTCTATTTCATTAATGAATCAAATCGGAAAACAGCGGAGCAAACCCCACACGTGTAAACATCGATGAGTATCGTCTGCTAGAATAGTCTTGCACAGATAACCTGTAGGTCACCATCGCACAAGCACGAACACATAAACTGAATGTGCTCAAACATGCACACGCATATACCCATGCACACACTCTACAGGACCTGAGGTCACGTTGTCGATTTCTTTCCGTGGCAGTTACTCATTCAAGCACGACAACGTACAATATCGCTATTTACTGTTCATTTTATTTGTGAAAGCCGGCATCGCTTGCTCTTGCAGTATATGTAATCACACGGAGAGCAGCAATATTTCGTGCTTAAACGGGATTGATTTTTCACGTCTGCTGTTTAACTCGACGAAGTTGAGCCTTTATAATCAGGAGTCAGTTTGATATTGCCAGTGAAAATGAGCGCCAGGCTGTTCGAAGAAGCTGACCACGCCGAATGCTACCAGAAAAGTCGTCCGGATTGGCCGCAGGAAATCATCCAGACTTGCTTGTCCTTTCTTCGCGAAAAGGTATAGTGAATCTCCGTTCACTGCATGTTGTAAAAATCGTCTACTTGATTCGTTAACTGTTATAAGAGGGAAGAAAGCCTCGCTGAAAGCATTCAATGCGTGGGTTCTGGTGAATGTGACTAGAACTGCCCTTGTCAGCAGAAAACAAGCAGTTAATAAGTCAAGTATATCAATAAGATATTTACCAGATATTCGTACAGACTCCTACAGTGTCAGAAGCTTAGACTGTTACACGGAAAACATTCAGTGAGAGGGTTTGTGCATGATCAAATCATAGCTCTTATCACTTTCGCGAAAGATTGATAAAATCCCAGAAACAGCACTGTCGTCGGTTAAAAACCAGTGTATCCGACTGGACAATCTCAGGTTAAATGTATGTCTTCTCTTTACACACACAAAAAAACACTCAACCAAATCTCTCCATTTAATTTGGCGATAGCCCAGCACGAGAATCGATGCTCGTTCCTCGCCTTTTATTGACATTTATGCAATTTACTATACTCCTTTTTTTTTACAAGATTTCAAATTCCATTAAGAAAAATTTACATCGATGGCTAAATATAAAATAAGTCGTCCATTGGCCATGTCACGGAAGCATACTCTTAGTAGTTAATGTTGAGAACATTTTCATTTATACTCCTGTCTGCGTACCCCAGTTTGCAAATGCCAATTGTACAGCAATTCTCTTATGTTGTCCTTAATTTCAAACAATACATAATACCGTTTGCAAGCAGAACCATGTATCCGGTATTTTATTCATATTTTAGCATCACTTCATTGGAGACCACGACGTCCAGGAAAAACCAGAGATAAAAACTTCAAAAATGCTCTGGCAACCTGTGTCCAAAAACCGTCAGCTGTCCCACCTGTGCTGGTGTTGGACTTCACCTAATAATTCTATGGGTGTAGTGACGATTTTAACGCGCGTCTGTGGGTGTGCTCGCTAGAACTAACCGTCTACTCAATTGACCCCCTTTAAAACTCCCATCCTGACATTCCAGATTACATAACACACCTGCTTACTGACCCACACACTATATGTGTTATTCGAATTTACAAGACAATAGTTTCTCGCTTTATTGCGAACTGCGGGAAATATGTAGTCTTGCTAATGTCTTGGAAAGGCACTGAAAATGTATAGGCCTATCTTTGATAGGTGAATATTTAAAAGCAAATTCTATCTTATCAAAATGACAAGTTTTTGCCGTTAGTGCAGACAGACATCGGCTTCCTCTGCTCAAAATATTTCGCCGATGTTATGCACTGGCGAAAAATTTTCCTTTTACTGTAATATTTTCTGAGTTTAAACTGGACGTACTTCTGGTAGAGTTTTCAGCACTTTCTACAAATGTTTCTGGTTAATATTACCCCATGCCCGCTTTCCGTTGGTCGGAAAGACATGTCGAGGCACGAACACAAACATTGGGGTATTGGGACATCTGCAGTGAGTGTTCTTGAAATAGGAACAGGAATGCGACAGGGACAGGATTTGAATGATTATTATTACTGAATTTCAATAACATATAACGCAGTTTTGGCCACAAGCCCCTAAAATATTACAGGTGAACTTCGTATATCCAGAGGACTGGGCCGTTTGAACTGGCGGTTGATGTCGCGTGCGGCTCAGGGCAAAGCACACGACCATTGGCACCTCATTTTGCCAAAGTAATCGGAACGGACATCAGCGAGGAACAACTCGGAGCTGCCAAACGTGTTAGTAATCCGCCAAATGTGGAATACAGGTAAATTCTTTCACTTTCTGCTGCAAACTGTTCGAGAGATGGAGTGACTGAAGTAAAACAATATATTTGCATGCATGTTTTGTGCTTCAATTTATACCATGGAAGAAATGTTTTCCCCTTCATGGGCTAATTCTTCCGTAGACTTATAAGATGTAGGCCTACTTTCGACTTCAGAGATATAGCTCTTACGTGCGGCTTATTTATCTCACGTACGACTTATGCATGTACTTGTACGATCTATCCACAATCACCAGTTGTGTATTGCACCTGATTGGTTGAATTGATAGATCTCGATAACTGCAAACAAGTCCCATCCATTGTACTGGACCTGAACTCAACATATCAATTCAAATGCATAGGCCTACTTGCACACTACCTTCTTAAACAGAATTGGAAGAGGTGAGTGCATCCCTGTAGCAGACAACTCGGCAGACCTTGTTACGTGTGCCACAGCTGTTCACTGGCTTGATGTTGATGAATTCTTTCGGGAAGTCGACCGGGTCCTGAAACCTCTCGGATGTGTCTTCATTTACAGCTATCACATCATTTATCCCTATTGGGAGGGGGAGGATTCAATGAACCAAGAACTGGAGAAGCTTGTGCGTGAGGTAAGGAAGTTATTCTTTAGGGAACCTTCTTTCGAATATCTAGAAAGTTTGATTCCTTTATTTTTGCCACTGATACTGACATTTTGGTCCACGCTAGTCACCTATTGAGTTTGTGAAACAAATTGTGCATAACTTAAGTAGTACCTAGCAGATGTTTTTCCACAATTCATCTGTTTAAGATGATGTGATGCATTTAATATATGTATCAAAAGAGAAACGTATTCCAAGACATTGCTATCTTGGTCCCGCTGGGAGTTCACAATGCTGATGATGTTTTCATCAAGTTAGTCTCGTCATATAAGCGTGAAGAGACTTAATGATAATCTGCGTCGCTGTCAGAAAAAATGAACCCAACAACTGTTGCTTTCAATTTTGTTTTTCGCAAGACAAAGAAACCCCTGATGAAGTATGTACTCGTGTATAATTTTAAAAGACAAGTGAAAAAGAAGGGACTTTGCCTCTGTGTTGTATTATGGGTCAACCATGTAGCAAAAAATGTCCTAGGTTTTATTACTGAAATAGCCTAGATCTTTAAAATGCAACTCTTGCTTCCATCGCAGGTGTTCATGAACATATTGGTCCCGCATTTCAACGATCGCATACATCTGGCTTTAAACAATCTGACTGACATTCGTATTCCGTATGCAGAGAATATAAGGTATGATACATAAGGCATATTGAGGGGGTGGGCTTGGGAGGGCGGCAAAGAGAGCAAAATGATGATGGGGTTGTTATTATTATTTGATTCGTCATCATCACATCGGACCAAATAAACATACACAAATCTAGACAAGATGACAGGAGCTAGAAAGTGAACTTAATCACTATTGCCAAAAGGCATACAGCCCCAAACAACAACTAAAAGACAAAAGGCATTCTTAAAAAAAACCCGCTACATTTAAAAAGGTAGAAAAAAAGCAAGACCACAAAATAATCGTTAATTGGGCATGTATCTTGGGAAGCCAGACCAATTGCCAGGTAAACAGATAAAAATAGCATACAGAGGTATGACACTCATCATATGTAGACAGCAAACTGGGAATTTTTTAGACCGTGGTAATTTAGTTTATACCATAATTTAAGCTGCCTTAAAAACTGTGAGAGATAACCCATCGATAAAGCAGTTCGAAAGGTTTTGGGGAGTGTCTCCCATAGACAAGGGAATGCATGGATTGGATTATGATGTAAGCAATTGTTTCTAGCTACAGGATGAGAAAATCTTAAATCATCAATATGCCGGGAGTTGATATGAATGTGTTCTACCACGGAACTGCATGAAACGTCACGATACAAAGTTTTAGCAACAAAAGACACCAGTATATCGTCCAGATGGGACTGGAGAGAATACCAGTTCAACTGTTTAGGCCTAAGTCGATCAAGGTAGGGCATCTCCATTCTCCTCTGCCAGAGAAGAATTCTTGTCGCCCGTCTTTGGACCTGCTCAATATTCCTGTGTGCTAAGGTACCAAACGGACAATCCATATTCTAAAATGGGTATAACAAGCGATTTGTTGAGACAAAACCGAGCATGTGTGGAGAGACCTTCAGCCACACTTGAAATAAAACCAAGCATCTTATTAGCCCTAAACGTAACGTACTTCACGTGTCTTTCCCAGGTTAATCGGTAAGCTAAAAACACACCGAGGTACTTTATTCCATTAACAACCTGCAGTGGACCAGAGTGGAGCTAGGATATATTGCGGGTCGATAACCCTATTCGTCTTTGTAAATCTAACCACTTTTGTTTTAGAGGGAGGAAGTTTCAGACCAATCAGAGTAATGACCCTGAAAATGGACCGTTATATTACGACCCTACAGGAAAGATTTAATCCAGTGCCATACATCTCCTGTGATATTAAAAAGACTTGAGAATTTGTATAACAGGTACCATAATGTCGAAAGCCTTTGAAAATTACAAAAAACTGCATTAACCATTTGGGCCTCTCGACGATCTAATGTAGATGACCAATCATAGACAACATTCATTAATTGGGTCACGCAGGATTTCCCTTTAGAGAACCCATGTTGTACTGGGGTCATCAAGTGATTATCCCGGAGATGATCTTGCATGGAGTTAGTCACTATATGGTTGTGGTAATGGACATCTGTTGAGGTAATGGACATCTTGTATCATCAGCGAAACGATGAAAAAATTAAAAATGCAGATTTTTTTGCTAATGAAAGTATGCCTCATGGTAAGTTGACGATGTTAGCAGATCCGGGTAAAAATAATAGTGGAAACCAAAGGAGTATGACTGTTTTTCTGCATTGCCCCAGGAATGAAGCGCTCGAGTTCCGACAGGAATCTTCGGTTGAGTCCTACATGGGATATCTCAAGTCCTTATCCGGCTACCGGGCGTATCGTCAGAAGAATCCGAATCTGCCAGATCCGCTGGACACAGTTCAAGAGCTGTAAGTCCAGACACCGTACAAGTGAAGTATTAAAAAAAGAGGAATAAAACAAAAGCTATGCCCCATGGGTTGAAAATACCAATTATTGAACAGTGACAATGAAATACTTATAGACTTGAAAAATAGCATATCTTATGCATTATTTATGTTTTTACAGATTAACTGTGTCGGGCTCGAAAACCCGTTATCAGGACCCGAAACTGTATATGCGGTCACCGGTTGTAGTTCTTCTCGGCAGAAAACTGGAATCGAAAAATGTCAAATGAAGTCAAAAGCTGCATGGTTTTGCTGAACATCTGACAGTAATAGATTTTAATTTGTGAATTATGTGCACTTAATTTGTCATGGGTTCTAAGGAGGATGCACTTGATTGTTTAAGTTTAATTTAAACATAAGTGAAGACTGCACGTTGTCCTTTTGCGTATGGAAAAAATAAGATCACCACCATGATTTCTTGTCTGCGATATTTCAAGGTTTAAAACCTTGTCCAATCAAACTTTTTGAAGATTATACCTAGTAGCCAACATGAAGATCTTTTTTGTAGCTCGGGATCCCACCACCAGAGTCTGTGTAAAAGCTCCCTTGGATATAAACAAATAGTGGTTGGAAGGGAATACGCGTGTAAAGTTGCTGTTATGTATGTTTTTATACCTTGTGCTTATGCCGCTCCTATGTATGAAGAGTGCCCTCAACTGTTTACCATGGGGAGGTTATACCTTCCACGATTGCAGAATACACCAGGTCAGCGCTCGATCGAATGTTTCTGTCTATAACCTACTCAATACATCACAAAGTGGCGACAACGATGGGATTTCGTTAAATAAAATTGTTAACGATATAATTTCTCACCTGTTTGGTCAAATATTTGCCATATAGCAGTTAGAGTTTCGCTGTTTTGTGATTGATTTACGGATCGTTTTTGCAACGTGTCACTCGATACTCGATTGTTCTTGTTGTACATTTGCTCGTGCTTACATGCAACCCGTGTGTGTATAGTCAGCAAACAATATGGCTTCGGGACTTACTGGGCGGATACACCCCTTCAACAGCGATGAGGAGGACTGGCCAACATAATGTAGGGCGGCTTGAGCAGTATTTTCAAGCCAATAACATAGCCACTGACAGACAAGTCCTAGCACTTCTGAGTCTGATTGGAAGTAAAACTTATCGACTCCTCAAGAACCTAACTGCTCCTGATGTGCCATCATCAAAGTCTTATGCAGAACTCATGCATCTCTTGACCACACACTTGGCGCAGAAAGGTTCGTTTTCACAAACTTGACCAGAAAGACGGAGAGCGTGTCAGCACGCATCTGGCTGAACTGAGGACACTAGCTGAACATTGCCAGTTTGGTGATTACTTACCCTAACTAAAACGAATATTGATTTCAAATTTATATCAATTTGTAAAGGAACATCTTCTCTTCGAAATGCCACCCAGATGGCCAGATTTCGACAATTTTCACGTCTTTTATGACACCATATAGGAAGCCAACTTTTTTGGGGGAAACTATACCAATAATGTGCAGACGAAGCGGTAATTCCAAGGAAATAGAGAGCACCACAATCAGAAAAATAGGAAGCACCAGAACCTTCTTTCAAAGATATCTCCCTAACCAAGCCGAATATGGATATGAAACTTGCATCAATGGAAAGAGGAACATTCGATCTTTCCGATGCATCCTAGATGGCCCGATTTGGACAATTTTCAGGTCTTTTAATATCCGATATAGGGAGATAAGTTTGGCAAAAACTAGACCAATAATGTGTAGTCGAAGCGGGAATTCCAGAAAAATAGCGCGCACCAGAACCTTCTTTTGCATACATCTCCCTTACTAAAACGAATCTGGATATGACACTTACGTCAACGGAAAGAGGAACATTCGACCTTTCAAATGTAACCACGATGGACAAATTTGAAGAATTTGCTGGTCTTTTATGATGCATTATATGGAGCCATCGTTGAGCGGGAACACGACCTGTAGAGTGCAGACAAATGGAAAATTACAGAAAGTAGCAAATAGTACGGTTAGAGCTTCTGCCTTCTTTAGCAGTTACTTTCCTAACTAAAACGAATATTGATATCAAATATATATTAATTTGTAGAAAAACATCTTCCCTTTAAGATGCCACAAAGATGGCCAGATTTGGACAATTGTCAGGTCTTTTAAGATCCAATAAAGAGAGACATGTTTGGCGATAAACTAGACCAATAATATGCAGTAGAAGCAGGAATTCCAGAAAAATAACGATCACCAGAACCTTCTTTCAAAGATATCTTCCTAACCAAAACGAATATGGACATGAAACGTACATCAATGGAAAGAGGAATATTCGATATTTTAGATGCAACCAAGACGGTCAGATTTGGAAATTTTGTTAGGTCTTTTAAGATCCGATATAGGGAAGCAAATTTGGCAACAAACTAGACCGATAATGTGTAGTAGAAGGGGGAATTCCAGAAAAATAGCAAGCACCATAACCTTCTTTCAAAGATATCTCCCTAACCAAAACAAATATGGATATAAAACTTACATCAATGGAAAGACGAACATTTGACATTTTAGATGCAACCAAGATGGGGAGATTTGGAAAATTTTCAGGTCTTTTAGGATCCGATATAGGGAGACATGTTTCGCGAAAAACCAGACCAATAATGTTTTGCAGAAGCAGGAATTCAAGAAAAATAGCAAGCACAAGAACCTTCTTTCAAAGATATCTTCCTAACCAAAACGAATATGGATATGAATCTTACATCAATGGAAAGAGGGATATTCGGCCGTTTAGATGCAACCAAAATGGCCAGATTTGGACAATTGTCAGGTCTTTTAAGATCTGATATAGGGAGACATGTTTGGCGAAAACTAGACCGATAATGTGTAGTAGAAGGGGGAATTCCAGAAAAATAGCAAGCACCAGAACCTTCTTTCAAAAATATCTCCCTTACCAAAACAAATATGGATATAAAACTTACATCAATGGAAAGACGAACATTTGACATTTTAGATGCAACCAAGATGGGGAGATTTGGAAAATTTTCAGGTCTTTTAGGATCCGATATAGGGAGACATGTTTCGCGAAAAACCAGACCAATAATGTTTCGCAGAAGCAGGAATTCAAGAAAAATAGCAAGCACCAGAACCTTCTTCCAAAGATATCTTCCTAACCAAAACGAATATGGATATGAATCTTACATCAATGGAAAGAGGAATATTCGACCGTTTAGATGCAACCAAAATGGCCAGATTTGGACAATTGTCAGGTCTTTTTAGATCCAATATTTCGATCAAACTTTGGTGGAAACTAGACCAATAATGTGTAGTCGAGGCGGGAATTGCAGAAAAATAGCAAGCACCATAACCTTCTTTCAACGATATCTCCCTAACCCAAACGAATATGGATATGAAACTTACATCAACGGAGAGAGGAACATTTGACCTTTCAGATGCAAGCTAAATGGGGAGATTTGGACAATTGTCATATATTTTATGATCCGATAGAGGGAGCCAACTTTGTTGGAAACTAGACCAAAAATGTGTAGTCGAAGGGGGAATTGCAGAAAAATAGCAAGCACCATAACCTTCTTTCAACGATATCTCCCTAACCCAAACGAATATTGATATGAAATTTACAACAATAAAAAGAGGAACATCTGACCTTTCAAATGCAACCAAGATGGCCAGATTTGGACAATTTGCAAGTCTTTTAAGATCGAATATTTCGAGCCAATTTTGGTGGAAACTAGACCAATAATGTGTAGTCGAAGCGGGAATTCCGGAGACATATCAAGCAACAGAACCTTCTTTTAAAGATATCTCCCTAACCGAAACGAATACAGATATGAAACTTACATCAATTGAAATAGGAACATTCGACCTTTCAAATGCAACCACGATGGCCAGACTTGGACAATTGTCAGGTCTTTTAAGATCCAATATTTTGAGCCAACTTTGGTGGAAACTAGACCAATAATGTGTAGTAGGAGCGGGAGTTCAAGAAAAATAGCAAGCACCAGAAACTTCTTTCAAAGATATCTCCCTAACCAAAATGAAAATGGATATGAAACTTACATCAATAGAAAGAGGAACATTTAACATTTCAGATGCAAGCTAAATGGGGAGCTTTTGACAATTGTCATATCTTTTAAGATCCGATATATGGAGACAAATTTGGGAAAAAACTAGACCAATAATATGTAGTAGAAGCGGGAATTCGAGAAAAATAACGACCACCAGAACCTTCTTTCAAAGATATCTCCTTAACCAAAACGAATATGGATATGAATCTTGCATCAATGGAAAGAGGAACATTTGACCTTTTAGATGCGACCAAAATGGCTAGATTTGGACAATTTTCATATCTTTTATGATCTGATAGAGGAAGCCACTTTTGGTGGAAACTAGACCAATAATGTGTAGTCGAAGCTCGAATTCCAGAAAAATATGAAGCACCAAGAACCTTCTTTCAAAGATATCTTCCTAACCAAAACGAATATGGATATGAAATTTACATCAATGGAAGAAGGAACATGCGACCTTTCAGATGCAACCACGATGGCCAGATTTGGAAAATTGTCAGGTCTTTTAAGGCCCGATAAAGAGAGACATGTTTGACGCGAAACTACACCAATAATTTGAAGTAAAAGTGGGTATTCCAGAAAAATATCAAGCAACAGAACCTTCTTTCAAAGATATCTCCCTAACCAAAACGAATATGGATATAAAACTTACATCAATGGAGAGAGGAACATTCGACCTTTCAGATGCAACCAAGATGGCCAGATTTGGACAATTGTCAGGTCTTTTAAGATCCAATAAAGAGAGACATGTTTGGCGATAAACTAGACCAATAATATGAAGTAGAAGCAGGAATTCCAGAAAAATAGCGAGCACCAGAACCTTCTTTCAAAGATATCTTCCTAACCAAAACGAATATGGACATGAAACGTACATCAATGGA